TAATAATAATAGGATTACACTGAAACAGCAACAGCCTTGTTCTTGCATGACATTTTATTTTTAAAAATAACAATAATATTTACATAACTCTAGCTAATAAATTACATTTTAAGTACTGTAGAAGACAGAACAGAGGAGGTCTGTTGCTCAGAGATAAAAAGTGTTACAGCCTCTGTCCATTTTCTCATCCAAAAGCATATTTATTCCTTATCTCCCAGATCTTACCAAGTCAGCACCATGAATTATCAACAACTGAAGAGATAGCCATGCTGCTACCTGCTGCCTTGAAATCACTATCATTTGTCCATTGCTGAGCATACATCTTTTTTATCCCAACTCTGACTTGATTTCTTCTCTTGATCCCAATTAAATGTTTCCTTTTCTTTTTGAAGATTTTATTTTTTAAAAACTAAACTAAACTCAGTTTGCCTTTCTGAAAAATGGGGTCCTGCTGGAGGAAAAAAGACAAGTGCAAACGGGTTGCCTGAAGCACTCTTCCACTCGTCTCTTGCACTTCTGATCTTTGCATGCCTTCTAGGTCCAGGGAACAGAAACACACATTCAAAGGAGTGTTTTTTCTGTGGCATTGTGTGCAGTAAACTCCCTGCCCCTCAGCTATGAAACTGTGATCTTCTTTATTTATTTAGTTGCCTCACTCTGCTTTTTCAATACCAGGGGTTGCTGCCAGAGGGGGGGATGTGGATTCCAGGAAGTGATTTTGTGTTGCTGTAGAGGTCAGATCCTGAACCCTCCTCCCAAACGCAGTTCTGAAGTTAAGCCATCTTTTCAAGTGACCCTGCCCATTAGGACCCTTGGCTCCACCTGCCCCTGGATCTTCCCATGGTAACACCTGGCCCCGTTGGCTCCACCTTCAGTGACCTCGCTTACCCTTTATGACATTGACCTCAATGGACAGGAGCCAACAGTGGGACAGATAAATCACACAAGAGACACGAGTCACTGAAGGCTGGGACTGAAGAGGCACCTGTGAAAGTCCCACCTCTGGGACTTGTAAGACCCCTGGTAGTGTTACTGCCTAAGTTTGGAGATCTATTGCAGAGGAATAGTTTCCAGGTGGGGAGGGGCCGATTTGGGGATTTGAAAAACAGACCTAGAAACCCCAGCAGAGTAATTCCTCCACTTCTGGTATGTGGCTGCTTTTCCCTTTAGGGCGATGCAAATCCCTTCGCTGCTTCCCAGTTCATTTGACTCCGGGCTCAATAGGATACCTCTGAAAAGCCAACACACTGTTTACTGCCCTCCGAAATACTGCCCTAAATTATTCACAGGCTGCCCGTTCCTCTTCCTCCTCCTCCTCCTCCGAAAGTGTTCATGCCAGCACTACCCACTAGGCACTTCCTTGAAGCTCTGCTCAGGGGGGCAGCTTTTCTCGGCTTTGGCTGACAAGCCTCTCTCTCTCTGGGTCCGGCGAGAAAGGCTCCTGGGCGAGCGGCTGACAAACGTCGGGCTCCGGAGGCGGGCGAGGAGCGCAGCTCTGCCTGCGTTTACACACCTCCTGTACAGAAAGGGAGCCGCGGCACCGGCGGCACGCATGCGCACGGGGGTTGTTTTTCACAAAGCTCCCCTTAAAGTGAGCTGGCAGCGGCGGAGCGCTTGTCTTTGTAGAGAGACCACAGAGCGGGAGAGGCGCTGCGAGCAGCATCTCTTCTAGCGTGGGTACTTTTAAAGGAATCCCAATGAAGTGCTCGTAGGAGAACGCACTGATCCTGCCTGCAGTCTTTTTCGCAGGGCAGGAGAAATCAGATCAGTGTCAAGTGAAGATCACATTTTTTTTCCGATGTGAGATCTTGACTCTCCTTCCTTCCCCTTTTTTTCTTACAGTATATTTTTATAGACTTTGTAATTACAGAAAAAAAGAAAAAAAATCAACATGGTGCTGGGGAAGGTGAAGAGTTTGACGATAAGCTTCGACTGTCTTAATGACAGTAATGTCCCCGTCTATTCTAGCGGGGACACTGTCTCAGGAAGGGTGAATTTAGAAGTGACTGGGGAAATTAGGGTCAAATCGCTTAAAATCCATGCAAGAGGACATGCAAAAGTGCGCTGGACGGAATCGAGAAATGCTGGATCCAACACTGCCTATACACAGAATTACACGGAAGAAGTAGAATATTTCAACCACAAGGATATCTTAATTGGGCACGAAAGGGGTAAGTCTGGATTTCGATCAATTACTTTTTAGTATGTTCGGGCAGTTTTCTACATAAAAAGTCAATTTCTTGATTATTAGGTGACATGAGGCATATTACTCAGAAGTAAGCCATATTAAGGGCAATGACACTTCTTCCTCAGTGAGTGAGTCCTAAGATGTCTGTATGGTATGGTGTGGTATAGTGTAGTTAGTACCTAGCGTATGGAAATGTAGCGATTTAAATCCTCAACAGATCATCGTGGTGCGTCTGCAGTGCTTGCAGACTAGACTTTTTTCCTCCATCAGTCTGCTCTTTTGATTGCAGACCCTTGCACCCGTCCATCCAGTTTAAAGCTTCCCACAAAAAAATGAATTGATTTTAGAAGGGTGTTCTCTTGTTACTGGCTTACCCGCCCCCCCAAAAAACCCAGTATCTTAAGAATTGCTTTATTACTCTATATGATTGGGGGTCCTGGGCAATGTTGCCTTGAGAGGATGGAGGATTATTAAGAAAGGGATCCCTGCGGTGTATTTTGACACTTGCTTTCAGCACCCCACGTGCAGATCCGCATTCCCTTATGCCTAAACTCGAAAAAGTTGGTAAATCAGCCCAGTTTTTCTGTCATGGTTCTGCCAACCAGTTGGATGTAAAGCTATGTGTGGGGGGGGCAAGCCCCCACTTTGTCCAAAGAATTAGGGCATCATTTCTAAATTGGGGGGATTGTGTGACCAATGAAACCTCCTATGTCAAAGCGAAGAACTCGGCAAATGGGGCATGTTTTTGGTTAGGGCAATAGGAATCACCCTTCTCACGGGTTACTAGGTCTTCAGATGGTTAATCTGTTGTTTCAAATGGCATTGATGTGGAAGTATAGGAGAGTCTAAGGTTGTTTTTCTGAAGTTTCCACCCTTTGTTAGAAGCGGTTCAATCCTGTTTGGGACCAGTACTGAAGGGAAGGGAGGGGTTGCTCCTTCTCCTCACAGCAGATTGGTTACACGCGTCAGGTGGTGGCGATGACTTAATTCCTAGCACAAGAAAATGTTAAAACTGGTTATGTAATTTTGGCTTGCTCTTTTGTATCCGTATGTGTAGATATATACAGTATATATATATAGGTAGGTATATAGAGATAATATATCTCCATATACTGTATGAATAAATTTGCAGTAGATTGATTGCAGATATGGGGAGAAATAAATAGGATTAGCCTCCTCGACTTAATTCAAGGAAGTTGCACGTAATGCATTCGATTGCTTCCAAGGAAAGGGGTCTCTCTCCCCCCGCCCGAGAATGCAGTTCAAACATGATGTCAGCGGAACGAAACTTTTGGATTATGAAAATGCATGCAAGTCCACGGTGCTTTAAAGCCAGCTGCTGCATGAACGGGAAGCCCTTCCGTGTAATTTGCAGCGTTAAGTACCTCTCCCCCACTTACAGTACTGAAAGGTGCCGTAGATCCAATTCTACCTGCCGGTTTGGAGGAAGTGGGAGGCTACCAACCGAAAGCACCGGCGGCTCGCTGCCATCTTTTCAGAAAGCAAACCGGCGCTTGCACCTGCTAAATATGGTATTGCACGGCACGACCTGGGCTCCTTTTATGTGTGTCACTATTTGGAAGAAACAAAAAGCCAGGGGCGACACAGGGTTGTCGACACAGCTCGCGTTGGAGCTTGCCAACTGCCCTGGCGACGTACGTCTCTTTTCCGACCTGGCCTGACTCATTCATTCTCGTCTCCACGTAACGGCGGGCGGCTTCCTCGCCTTTCATTTCCCCTCACCCTCACCCCCACCCCCCTCGCCGTCGCTGCCTCGCGCCAAGCCATGCCACCACCAGGCAGGAGTTTCAATGACTTAGCGGAGGAGGCAGGCAGGCAGGCAATCACCCACCCGCCCTCAGCCTAGCATGCTCGCCGAAGCCCCGCCCCACCCTCACGCGGCTATTGGTCCGCTGGGGTTTGTTAGCTTGTTGCTAAGGCAATGCCAGGGCTTGATTGGGAGGCGGGTGAGCCGATTAAAGGCGGCGAGCGATTAAAAGACAAGGTGCTAGTTCTCAACGCCTGCAAAACTGGCAACCGGGGGACGGGGGGGAAGAGGTGGTTCTTCGGGTGGCTCCCGCTGGGGCCGCCCAGTCCTCCCTCTGCTTTTTTTTTCCGGGCAGCGCTCTTCCATCCCTCGGCTTCACGTGTACAAACGCATGCTTTAAGCCGTCCCTTCCAGCCCCGCCGCGACTCGTGTCCTCCTGGCTTAACTTTGCGAGGGGAAGTTTCGAGGTTCTCTTTTGATCTGCTCCCAAAACTATTTCAAGGCAAGCTTTAGCCGCATTTAGCGCTTGCTGCGTTGGCTCCCACGCGTTGCAGACGCTCCCAGCTGCCTCTACCCCTCATCTGCCTTTTGTCTGGCTGGTTTTCTTCTGGTCGCTGTAGCACGTCAGTGGGACTTGCAGACGCGTCTCTCAGAAGACACGAATTAAGTCTTAAAACAGCCTGTAAACCTAAACGATCTGCCTTCTGCCACGTCTTGCCAGTCATGGCCGCTTGGCAACGGGATAAGATTTCACATGTGGATTCCATCAGCGGGGGTAGGGGGCGTTGGGGGGGCGGTGTTGCAAAGGATGTGGACTTTGTCACGTACAACCGGAGTCGGGTGCTTTTCCGAAGCCCCGAGGTCTCACACTCGGTTATTCCGAAGCCCCGCTCCTCGGCAGAGCAGCGCCTTTTCCTCCACCCCAAACCGGACGGCAATAGCCCGTCTTATTCGGAGATGAATGGGCCAGTGCGAGGCACGCCGCACCCGATCCTGGGCAAACCTCGGTGCGTGAGGCGCCTAGGTTTGGGAAGGGCCCCTAGCGCTGCATTCCCCCGAGAGACCCACGGAGTGTGTCCCGCTCCACTTCCGTGTTCCTGGAAAGGCTCCCGGCCGAAACCGGGGGTGGGGTGGGGGCCGCAGAGTCCTCGCTTCGTGGGCCGATTTCCCCGAGCTCTCCCCTCACGTCCCTGTGAGAACTCTGCCCTGCACAGCAACAGGGGCCGCCAGGTTTCTGGGGCGCCCCATCCCGCCTGGTCCCCTTCTCGGGGGTTCAAGACCGGCGCCGCCACCAGATGACCCCCACACACACACACTGCAGTCCATGCCTCTGAGGTGGCTTCGCGAAACGAGCCCACGTTCCATTCGTGTCCTTCCCCCCAACCCGCTTTCTTCCATTGAACGGCGGCCTTGCGTCACCTTTCCAGCGGGCACCTACAAGGGAATTGCCCGGTCCGGCCAAGCCTGGGAGACCGGA